AACAGATAGCGACGTAAATGATAAACAATACATTACCACATTACAATTCTCATTATAATTCACATGAAGCTTTCCAGCTAATCATTAAAAACAATTAAGCACGGCATTGGTATTTGGATAGCTAAAGGTAAACCAATCTATTGAAACCAATGTTTGATGAAATATGAACAAAATAAAACAATGAAATATGCACAAAAGCAGGTATGCAAAACAGATTCCATGAGACCTGAGGGAAGAGGTCAATGACCGATGGCCTTGAATATCCATATCTCTCCTTATTCTGTCAATACGACTAGTGACGTCATGTCAATCAACCAATGATTGTTGTTTCAACCAAGATTACTTCACTACGAACATTTTTTTAGCATTTCAAGTGCTTATTTTTTAGGTGTGCTTAAAATGTAAAAAATATTACCGTAAATTCAAAAATGTCATATCAGAAATGAAACATCAAAAATGAATGTCATCTTTATAGCGTTGATTTTAATGACGTAAACCGTAAGCTGGAGTTGTTTAACATGGCCCCCTCATGGCCCTGATCCGTGTCTTGATTTAAATTACTTTACCAAAGAATGACAATATCTTACGTCATTAGCCTAACTGACTTTAAATGAAAAAATAATCTGGAATAATTATGGTATTGCTCAAATAGAGATTTTTCATTGGTCAAACGATAATGACGTAATAGGAACTTGTTACAGGAAAATGTGAATTCTGAATATTGCAAGTTCATTCGTCTCTTCTGTGAAGTCTGTCATCACATGGCACAGTGCCAAAAGTGGCCAAAGCCCAAAAGTACTCTGAGAAAGGCTGTTTGATACCTCTTTTGGACCTGAGAATTATATTAGGGGAGTACATATAAGAGGTTCGTTGATATTCTTCCTAAATGGAAATTGTGTTGCATATACCTACTTATAGCTCAAAGGGAGATTCTGGATTCATATTTGTGGCTGTATCAGAACTGTCTAGGTAGGTATCTACAAAATTTGTTAATAGTAAAGCGGGCATCACACTTGTTTTTCAACCGAGGAGAGTTGCTGTAGTTAAGTTTTAGGCTGTAGTGTAGGTTCTAGGTCTTAGGTTCTAGGTTTTAGGTTGTAGGTAAGGTTAGGTCAGGTTTGGTTAGGTTTGATTTGATTACAAAGAACCTCTGGATATGGTGCCTCTCCTTGGTCGCAAAAAAAAGAAATATCCTGCTTTATGAATACCCATAGTTTCCTGGCATTAACCCACGAGCCGCTGGGGGGGGGGGCATAAAGTTGCCCCCCTTTACGTTTTGTGAAATATCTCCGAAACCTGATGAGCTACGAACGTGAAACTTGGCATAGCTTCAAATGAATACCTAGGCAATCTTTGAGGAAAGTTTGGTGGTTGTAGCACCTAAGATGACGTCACAGTGACGTCATAAAGTTTTGTCGTTTTCCAATATGGACCGTTTCTGATGACGCTGAGCATGAAACTCACCTGTAAATGAACTAGACAGCACCTGCTGTCATCCTAAAACATCTAACTACACTTCCATCTAGTTTCTGACCTATAATCAACCCTTTATATTCGGTCCCATATATCTGATGTATCGTGAGGAATATGAGAGTCGCAAATCTACAATTTCACTTATGACGTCATTGTGACGTCATTTCAAATGGGATCGACACCAAATTTGGACACAACGTCGGCTAGGTATTCAGGAAGATGTGTGCAAAGTTTCGCTTCTCTATCTCTTCGCGTTGCGACGATATCGTCGCAGAAGTAAAGGGGGGGCAACTATATGCCCCCCCCCCCCCAGCGGCCGGCGGGTGGCGCGGAGGCCCAGCGGCCGCCGGGTTAATGGTCTTCTCATACCTGGTAGAATTGGTGAATTGCTGGGTTATCTTGAGCAAAACTGACCTATTTACATTTCAGGTTTTCCTTCTCAACATCTGTAAATACCGTTTGTTTATTTAACCCGCGTCGGGCCGGGGGTGTTTGAACACCCCCATGCGGTTTTTCGCAGATATCTCAAAAACGGCAGCGCGGAGCGCCGCCGGTTTTGGCACACCTGTACATGCATCTTTTCTGCACATGTTGTGAAAATTTCAGACCCAGGGCTTTCAAGGTCAGGTCACCAGGTCACGTCAAGTGACCTCACCTCAGAAAATGTTTCAATCCTCGTCAGAGCTACAGCGGCTGAACGATCGCCTTGAAACTGTCAGCGATTGATAAGAGTAACAAAATATACAAAAATTTTATCTCGGAATTTGAATATCAGTGACCTAAGGTCATGAGGTCAATTTTGCGACCTCTCCATTATAAGTCGATGGGAGAAAATTGAAATGCGCCTCTTGTGGACGAATTGTGTTTAAAACCCTCTCAAACATCGGGTTATGGGTAAACATGACACACTGAATCGGAAAAATGCACCTGTGACCCCTCTGTGTGCCCCTGAGGTTATTTCAGGTGATGAACGGTCACCAGCAGCTTTTGGCCATGACTTTTGATAGAGACGTGCTAGAGCGATGAAAACACGTCAGATGTATTCAGCTCGACGATACGGACCGACTGATATGCAACATTACCATTTCCAGTCAGGTCATGGCCTTGACCTGAGGTCAAATTTTCAAAATGACTTTTCAAGGTCAGCGAATAGTTCATTCGACCCGTCTCGACGAGAGGAACACGAGGCTGGCAAAAATAATGTCGTGGCCTGCTTGAATTAAAGGTTTTACCGAAAAACTTTTTTGTGAAAACGGCTATTTTTACAGTTTTTGCTCTCTGGAGGCTAAACCGTTGACCTGAGGTCAAATCTGAGAACAATAATCAGAAATGTCTGTAAAAGGGTATCGAATGCGTTTTTTTCCGCGACGCTGTAGCTCTATTGGTTCCCGAGTTAGCCGTTGGCAGTTTCCAAAATTGTTGAAATGGACTACATTTGACCTTTGATGACCTCTGGCGTCGGCGACCTGACCTTTGAGCTGACCCAAAAAATGACCGAAGTGTTACCGTCATTATTTTTGACGCTCTTTCGAATGCCGCTTGCCGCGTATCGCTACGTGGCCCAGGAGCCGAGTTAGACAGGGGGTTAGACAGGGGGGGTGTTCAGACGCCCCCCCCCCCGCGACCCGGCGCGGAAGTCGCGGAGCACCGGCCCGGCGCGGGTTAATTGTTGCTGGGCCAGCCGGTGGTGTTTGCCGGCGCACCGTGGGGACTTATGCCATCCTAGCACGCATTAAGTGGCAAGTTAAAGTATTTCGATTTCCACTTTTTTGTTATTCATTCCACGTAGAATTGTCCAGCGCATCCGAATCACACCTTAAATCGTCTGTAAAATGATTGCTTATGCCTCAAAAAACATCTCAAAGTATAGCTTCGTCCTGACCAGCGTCGTGCTACCTGCATACAGCGAAAAAGCACACTACAATAAAACGCCCTCTCACTCGTTTCCCTGAACAGCAGGTTATAGTTGCGACATGTTTTCATTATCTTTGACTTATAAGGAAGATGATGGTATGCACGAAAATTTCGAAAATTCATCCAAATGTATAATTTTTGACCGAAATGCTAAAAATGTTAAAATGCTTCTTGATTCAGAGAGTTGACAAGCAAACTATTGCCTTACAAAGTTTGATACGCGGTGTTATGCGTGGAAATGTATATCAAAATGTTCTCCAATAATTTCTGCATCGGGGGCAGCTCTCATTTTTTGCCGAAATTTGCCTAAACCAGTCACTATGAGACGTCAAAGCAGACGGTGCCGCGTGGTTTCTTACGCCCCGCCGGGCCGCGCCGCGGCGAGTTACCCGACCGTAGCACACCGCCTGGGGGTTTCCGGTCAATATAGGAGTTGGGAGGAGGGAGGAAGGGGGTGATACCATGTTGACATTATTTTTCTATCGCCAAATGTTCTTTTAGAACAAAACAACAACATCCTTGCAACGCTGCGTCCATTTTATTGGCTATCGCCGCCAATGTTCACCTTATTGAACTTCAGTACAGAGCTTTGATATAGGTAAATCGAAAAATGTTGTAACTTTGTAAAGTGAGGTTGGAGGTTTTTGGGGTGCTAATCACGAATTTCAAGCTAGTTTTGATCAAGGATGATGTTTTCATGCTAGGCCGGGTCAGGTCAGGCCCGACCAGTAGGTGTCTTGCCGGCTATCCATAGAAGGTAGGCGTCGATTACCTTTGACGGCTTCGTAGCATGTTCCGTTAGGCACCAAAACTACTTAAATCTTCAAATGGGTGTTAAGTTCGAAATAAGCTCCAAGCACTCATCTAGAAAAATCGTATAACTTGAAAAAGTCAACTAAGGTAATCTAAGGTAAATGACCTTGATTTAACCTTAACGTGACCTTAAAATGCAAAGAACAAACAGCATTTCATACCTTGGAGAGTTAACAACCACAACAAGACTGAAAACGCGCCGATAATGTGCGCTGATAAGCGCCAAATCGGTACCAGCCTGACATGGTCTGGTGAAACAGGTCACAGGTCAAATTTTTATTAAGGTCAAGGTCATGAAATTTTAAGTGTGTGAGTAACATTGATCGAATCGAAGGTATAGAAAGTTTCGTCGTGATCCGCCACGTTTTGCTTGAGTTAGTTGCGAAAAGTCGAGGACAGAAGTCTGTGCGACCCCCTCCCCCTTTAAGTGCAAGGACTAACAAAGTGCAAAGGTTAAGCCCGAAATGCCTTTTGGTGATTGGGCTAGACATGAACAAATATCTACTTCTAAAACGATTGTAGTTTCGTTCTACTTTTTTAACGCTTCCACGCCCACGATGCATTGCTAGCCGAAAACGCTTCAGTGCTAAGTCCGTGGGGCGGGGGCGGGGGAGGGATGGGGTCAAACAGGAGAGCCAACCATGTTGTCAGGGATCATACACCCTAAGCCTAACCATTTGAAGGTGAAATAAAATTAGTTAAGTTAGCGGAGGACGAGATATAAATAAATTCGTGCTAGGATCGATAAAAACCCCACAGTGCGGCGGTCGGCTGACCGGAGCCGGTGTCGCCGCCGCCAGGAGCGGCTCGGAGATCTACGAGCGGCTGCCGACCGATGGCTCGCTGGCCGACGAACTGAACCTGTCGCCGACGCTCGACGAGCGGCCGCTCTCTGGTAGCGATGACGACAACGAGGTGGCGGCCGATGAGACTGCCGGCGAGCAGCGGCGGCCAGCCAACGGCGAGCACCCTCCCCGGCGCACTCTGCAGCAAGGTGAGCGCCGCCCACTGCCAGTGCTCGCCCGGAGGCGCTGTGGACCGCCTATTTCGCTCCAGTCGCCTCATACGGGAGGGGCGGGCGGGACGGAAGGACTGCCGCTCTGTGTGCCTTAGGCCAGTCATGTGCGTGCGTGTGTGTGCGTGTGTCGTGCCTGCTTAGCGTGCCTGTTTAGCCTGAGCCTCTGTGTGTGTCTGTGTGTGCGTGTGCGGGTGCGGGTGCGGGTGCGTGTGTCTGTGTGCGTGTGTGCGTGTGTTCCGAGGGTCGGGCCGGTCAGCCGGCGCTGAAAGAGGCCGAGGCGGCGTCGGTGAGCGTCGCCACACGGGCTGCCTTTCAGAGCTGCTGTGTCAGACGTTTCTGAGCACGGAGTCGCTGCCGGCCGGCCTGTGTCAGCCGCGGCCGGGGCGGAGCTCGCGGGCACCCTTCAGCCGCGCCCGCACCGAGCAGCTGCCGCCGCCGCCGCCCCGCCACCACTTCTTCAAGGCCGAGAGCGTGGAGCTGGGCCGCCGCCCGCCGCCCGACCACAGGATGGACGGCGCCGACACGGGTACGGCCCGCCGAGCGGCCCACCGAGCCGGCCGGCTGCTCCCCGTAGTCTGGTCTCGCAGCACGCCCGGCCTGCCCCCCCCCCCCCCAGCCCCGGTCCCGGCCTCTCCACTGCTTCCGGCGCCGAACCTGTATCCGGCCGCCAGCTCCCAAGTCTGGAATTACCCATAATTCTAGCCTCTGTTTTTTTTTTGTCTTGGCGAGGGATGACGCTTATAGAGTGACGTCACTGGCGTACTTTTTTTAATTTTTTATTATTTTTTCTTATTTGTAAATTTAGTCCGAATGGTTGAATGGGTGGATTTGAAGAATCAGAGCCCGCACTAAGCATAGCTTGTTGTGCTGACCCTGACCCCACCACCCGATCGCGCAATTCCAGTTGTATGGCAGAATTTTGTCCGAACGTTTAAAGGGACTATCCCACCTTCTAAAATGTTGTTAAAACCAGTTAAATTGTGCCCGACTTTATAGATTGGATGACCAGGAACACGGTTCTGGCATTTATTTTTCATTAAACATCTTAGGCTTCCCATATTCCAAACACATTCAAATATGTGACGTCACAGCCCAAAATTACCTCCTTCCCCAGGCCACATTACTGTCATAAAGCTGATCCTTTTTACTCTGTAGGCACCACAACAAAGTTCAGACCAAGTTTTAAGCGATTTTTCAACGAACAAACCCATTTAAATCAGAATGACTAAACGAGGTGACGTCACACTAACGGTCGCTCCATGTTGAAGATAGGGCCTTGTACAAGGCCCATTTTCAAATGAAGGGAACGAATTTCTTCAACACCAAGAGGCCGCGGGGGTTGCAACCTAGATAGATAGTGGTTTCTGAACCTCGCCGCAAACTTGGCTATCTCAACTCAAACCCCATGTTAAAGGTGGGATAGTCCCTTTAACGTGCCCTCACGACTGGACACGGCCCCCTCCGCTCACTCACGTTACCTGGCTTCTGTGCGGCAGGGCCCTGCCACAGACACGCACGCCATTACACGTAGGAGCTAAATGTGGCCGCCCGCACCGGGGCTTGAACCGGGCTCTCACCACCGGCTAAGCGTCGAACTCCGGCGCTTTAATCCACTCGGCCACGGAGGGGTACTTGGCCTGACCAATGGCGCAGCGCAGGCGCGCAGAACCGATCCAGAGACTCAAATTTAATCATGCAGACGCTGTGTTTTGGAATCCGAAACGCTTGCGAATGCGCTCGACTTTTTGGCTTTTTGTCGCAGGGACTCGTCTACTAAGATTAACCGGGGGGGGGGTTACCAGTGGCGCAGCCAAGATTTCGTTTGGGGGGAGGGTCATCGCCTCCAAAGCAGTCCCCTAGTGTGCGGGCCCCCATCTATTTTTCAGAATCTCTCCATATTTCATACGCATTCTGCTGAGCGGGCCCCCTTTACCTGCACGATAACCCTGAGCGAGTTTGAATCAGAAAATTTGGATAGAAAAATAGCTCGGTAATCACCCGGTGTTCAATTTTTACGCAAATTAACCACGGCAGAAATATGTTACTATGACGTATGAATTCGTATCTTGGCGAGGCCGAAATGTGTCCCTTCCGCAATATGCAAAGCATATATGTGTTACAGTGCGTCCGCGAAATCCGTGAGTTTGCGAATTTACTAGTAAATCCGCGAAATCCCTAGGGACTCTGCGAACTCACATAAACTCTCGTGAATCCGCGGATTTACTAGAGTTTCCAGTGCGTCCGTGAAGTCACTGAAGAGTCGCGTGGATCTGCGAACTTCCTAGGTAATCCGCGGAATAGCGATTCTTTTTCATTGAATCCGCGGAATACCGACCCTTTTTTCAGAGAATGGCAAAAAAAAACGTTATTTAGTTCTTATGCCGATTTTTCGTAGAGGCTCAAAGACAATTGGAACCGAATCATGTTGCCGATATGCTGGTCCTGTTGTGCGTTGGCCGGCATGGCAAGTACAATCAGTCTATCGGAATAAAACTTTAAGACATTTGGTAAATTTTATGTTACATTTTTACGTAGGTACACTCGGGGGCAGATTGATGTTCCACCACTCCCTACCCATCGGGCTCCCATGTCTCAGCACTGGCTGCTGCCAGTGTTGCCTGCCCTCAGCACTGGTCAGCACTGCCTGCCAGTGCCAGTGCTGCCAGTGCTGCCACTGGCAGCAGCCAGTGCTGAGCCATGGGAGCCCGATAGGTGGGGAGTTGTGGAACATCAATCTGCCCCCGAGTGTACCCTGCTAGTTTTATAATTTTACATTTTTTCCTAAATAATATTTCCTTAGATTATTAAAAAAAAAACTTGTGCGCCGCACACTTCCACTTCAAAGGTAGGCATTTGCTGTAAATAGCTAGATAACAATCTGAATGGACCTCGAGCTCACAATTGCGAATGGTTGTTAAGCCGCGCACCGACCGGAGGGTATTTCCGTATGTCTGTCCCCCCTCCCAGAAAATTTTCGTAAATAACGAGAAAAAACGTTGTGCGTAGCACCGCGAAATTTTACTCCAGTCTATTCATGTTACACATTGCGTGCAAATTTTAACCTCCTACCTTTTAAGGTCAAGTCACCAGGTCACTTGGAATAACCTGACCTCAAATCACTTTTTTGCAACTTTGTCACCGTGCTTGAGCTAATGTAGATGACGGAGTCTTTTGACAGTTGTAGGACGTAATAAGGTCATTGGTAGCTACATTTTGCATATCTCAGAATTTCGATATCGATGACCAAAGGTTAGGTCAATTTCTTGACCTCCCCATTATGAGTCAATGGGTTGAAAAATCAACACCCTGATTTTTGTCCTCTAAAACGCGTCGGAATGGCATAATATACCATGAATGACTTCATATACGATCAACCTTGACTATCTTGAGCCACTAAAGCTAGAATTGTAGCCAGATTGTGCACAGATGTTGACTGGTGTGTTCTGGTGAGAGCATGTTACCTCTATATACATGCGCATAATCAATATGTATAGCATAGGGGGTCAATTGGACCTCTGGCCCAGCTGTTTGGCCCCTGATGAAGCTAGAGCTTCGCCGAAAAATCAAGCGTGTTGCTTATGACGAGAGGAAGCCGAATATATCCAATATCAAAGTCCAAGGTCATTAGTTGACTTTCCAAGTCAGGTCAATGACTCAAAAAATGACCGCGGACACACTGTAACGTGTCGAAAAAGGTTGTAAGCGTCCAAACATGGTGAAATGATGCTGTTACAGTGTGTCCGCGAAATCCGTTAGTTCGCAAAGTCACTGGTTGATCCTAGGGAGTCCGCGGAGTCACGTAAACTCTCGTGAATCCGCGGAATCACTGCCGTGGCTCCGCGTATTCACTAGAGTTTTCAGTGCGTCCGTGAAGTCACTGAAGAGTCGCGGGGATCTGCGAACTTCCTAGTTAATCCGCGGACTAGCGATTCTTTTTCAGTGAATCCGCGAAATGCCGATTCTTTTCAATCAATACGAGTTAAAATGATTGCAGCGGTCTTCAGCCGTCTATAGGTAACACTATTCGAGGTGGGTGCGTCTGTCCGATACCGAGGTCCCGGCAGTGCGACACGGTGGATATACACACGGTAGATACATACCTTCGGTCGGATGGACCCCCATGATTTTTCGCTAAGTTCTCCTGCAACAAGCAGCTGATAGCGACGAAACGTTCGATACCTTCGACTTTATCAATTTTACACCTAACCTAAAAATTCCATGACCCTGACCCAACTGACCTTTTGACCCGTGACCTATATCTCGAGACCATGATTGGTAACAATCGCGATTCGGCGTATGCCAGCTCACATTATCCGCGCGTTTCCAGCCTTTTTGTGGTTTTAAAGGGACTATCCCACCTTCTAAAATGTTGTTAAAACCAGTTAAATTGTGCCCGACTTTATAGATTGGATGACCAGGAACACGGTTCTGGCATTTATTTTTCATTAAACATCTTAGGCTTCCCATATTCCAAACACAAACTTTCAAATATGTGACGTCACAGCCCAAAATTACCTCCTTCCCCAGGCCACATTACTGTCATAAAGCTGATTCTTTTTACTCTGTGGGCACCACAACAAAGTTCAGACCAAGTTTTAAGCGATTTTTCAACGAACAAACCCATTTAAATCAGAATGACTAAACGAGGTGACGTCACACTAACGGTCGCTCCATGTTGAAGATAGGGCCTTGTACAAGGCCCATTTTCAAATGAAGGGAACGAATTTCTTCAACACCAAGAGGCCGCGGGGGTTGCAACTTAGATAGATAGTGGTTTCTGAACCTCGCCGCAAACTTGGCTATCTCAACTCAAACCCCATGTTAAAGGTGGGATGGTCCCTTTAAGCGTCCAAACATGGTGTAATGATGCTGGTGCAATGCAGTATGGTGGATGACAAGGTCACGTTAACCTTCCAGGCGGTGGGGGGGGGGGCATTTTTTACCCCCCTCCCTTTAGTTTCGGTATCACTTAAAGTTCGCGAATAGAACGCGATAGGACGCTCTCCTTGGGGCGTCAGCTGGCTTAGAACGCAGCCTTTTCCAACGGGCCCCGCATCACACGCGAGAACCACTGCACTGGCCTGGCTAGGTCAAAATGCGCCAGCACGGGGTGGCTTGACCAACAACGTCTTCGCGTTTGAAAACTTTGCTTTCCACCTCCGTCCAACGCCAAACCCGACCAGCTCATAGCAGCTGATATAGCGGCGAGAGAATGGTGGCCAGGTTCTCGAGAAACTTCCCATATTAATTTATGAGACCCAGTCACAGGCAAAACTCCCTTACATCTCGCGGCTCTGGAGCATTTAAGATAGCTGCCGTTTTATCCCCAGTGGTCTCCACGCCCCGCGCACTTATTTGGAAGCCCAAATATGTCGTCATGCTAGCCACACCAAAGCTACACTTGGCCCGATTGACTCGGAGCCCGGCGTCGGAGAGCCTGTGAAGCACCCGTCTCAGTGTGTGGTTGTGAGCAGCCTCATCGGCACCCGCGACTAGACGATGTCGTCTAGGAACACGCCGACCCCT